CCGGCCCCAAGCGGGCCTCGCTGGGCAGGGCTGGCGGCGTTTGATGTCCCGCTGTCGTCTGCCGTCCTAAAGCTCCCGCCGCTGCCGCTGCTACTGCAGCGTGTTTCGTGGCCGCTCGCCCCTTGCGCAGCCCTTCAACTTGGAAACAACCGGGCTTCGCGCGCTCACCCGGCTGCTTTTGTCACCAGGTTACCTCTGGACCCGCCGCCCCGCTAGCTCCGAGCACCGCAGCCTGGCTTTAATCCCCCTTCTCCAGCTGCCTCTGATGCCTGTAAGGGCAGCAGCACTCGTACTGCTCCGGTTCTGGTTCCCGGCTGCCGGAGCCGCTCCCGCCCGCAGTTAGCGTCGCTGGCGCTTTGCCATTTGGACATGACGTTCTGAGCGCTGTTAAGGTATTTCTGACAGACCTGCAGCCTTGGATATGGTTCCTGGATCTACCTTCTGTGTATAAAAAGAAAAATCAAACTGAGAAATAAGGGCTATTCCAGTTACATCAGCCCCAGCTGCAGACAGGGGTTGATATAGCACCCCTACCAGCTGGACTGAAATGTAGCACTGCCATGAACTGTGCCCTCAACTTCAGGTGAGATCAACTTAGCCAGAATTGGCGGCAAGATCTTTTCAGATCTTTGCCTGTCATGCTTTTCTGACTGGCTGTCTTTTACGTTTACATGATCAACTAACGTGTTTGTTCAGTTGTGCATTTGTATAACTGTATTTGCACTTATGTTGAGTCTGCTGAGAGAAAAATCTTTCTGCCTGTATGCAGCAATTATAGTTAAGCTGTTCAAGTAGACATCCCTATGTCTTAGGACGGATTTGAGATTTTTTTTCAGGACAGGATTCTCGTCTGACTTTTGCTCGAGGGTAATAACTCGCCTGTCTGTCCTGCTCCCTTCTTCAGATACGCGAGAAATATTTGTAGAGAAGCAGCATGGAAGAGGAGGAATTTATTTTAATCCAAAGAGTAGATGTAATTTTCTAGTGAAAATGAGCAAATGCTGTAAATATTTTTTAGATGCTACATGGAGATTTAGGATGCTGAACAGAAAGATTATACAGATATTAAAAGTGCAAGAAGGAAAATCGAGGCACAAAAGTTACCTTTCTTGGTGTTTGAAGTTAACAGACTTGGTTGTATTTAATGGTATACTGGCAGATTACACGAAGTTCTCCCACTCCCACCAGTAATAACATCCCACAGCTTGTAAAACCACATTTTGCTTTGTAGCAAGTTTCAGTATTCTGAAAACTATGCTGCTTATGTCCACGTTTCAGTTCAATCCATATGAGGACGGCAGTGTTACAGTACCACGTTTTTGGGCAAACCATCAGTGATGATAAGCCTCGGGGTTGCATTACATAAATAAGCTCATGCACAGCCCACCCCCTGGGAGATCTGGGTGAGTACAGCACAGCCATACTGCAAAAACACTATGATGCAGGGATTTTGGGGCTGGGGGCAGCCTCATCCACTAAACCTGTATTGTATGGTGCAGTAGTGCATGACTGTACCAGCTCAGACTTGAAACTACTTTCTACACATACTTGCATAGTTCTACACTTAACTAAAACTTTTTTTCTCTCTTTGAGAGACTTTTCTTATTTATGTCTGGGCAAAGTCTTAGTTGTAGCATTCTTACTTTCCAGGGTACTGAACCACTAAACTGATGTGTTTGTAGGAGTCTAATATCTGGTTTAATGGGATTATTTCTCTCTAGAAAAGTGATCTAAGCAGTAGATTATTATCTAAAGCGAGACAGTTTCTCTTCTGACACCATCTTGCGTGGGGTCTGACAGGGAAGGTGCCCACCAAGCGGGGGACTCTGGTGGGACACCACCAGATCTGAGGTTCTGCTCTGAGACTGGACCATGAACTGCTCAAAACATAAAACCACAGATCTAGACAAAACTTCTGAGGCTCTCAGATGTATGTACATACTTGTTTTAGGAACTAGGCAAATCCTGGCTATGTGATTTCCTTTTGGAGAATTTAGCTGTTGCATTGCTATTATGCAAGTTTTCTTTTTCAGTCTTTCTGACTTCAGAATATCCTCAAAGACACAGGGGAACCTTCAAGAGGTTAATTGTTTTCTTCTGTCAAATCTGTAGAACCTTGTAAATTAAACTGGTTGAACAGCAATTATTAGTCATCATTGCTGTAGGAAATTGTTTTTTACTGTATGCTGTAAAACCAATGAAATAAGCATTCTAATCACTTTTACAATGTTTATCAAATCGGTCCAGTAGAGCCTTCCATATGCTGCCTGGGATTGTTTGGTGCTTGCTTATTAGAGCCTGGATGGCAGCCTTCGTCTGAAAGAGAAGAGAAAGTTGCCTTTACAGACCTGCTTATGCAAGGAAGAACAGTATAATCACTGGCGTCTTCTCAGAGGTTCAAGAGGTATTGGGAAATTCACACATAAGATCTACTTTAAGAAAAAAAGTTGTCTTCTATATTAGCTAGTCATCCTAACAACACTCTCCTTGGAAAGGAGAGAAATAAAAACATTGATTGCAGTTTGGATAGGCTCAAATTATTGACATTTATCAAACCTGGTCATTACTAAGTCAAAATAATCCTTTAACACATGCAAACATTAAGTTTGTGTAATCTCTATCCCTGAAGGTTTTCATAAAGAGCACTGGATAAAGCCTGACTAACCTCTTCTGATCTCATAGCTGACCTTGCTGGGACGAGGAATTCAGAGTAGGGACTTCTGTCTGTCCTTCCCAACATTAATACTGCCATAATTGTGTCATATTTAGCGTGCACATAATAAGAGAATTCATATCTAAATTCTGTTCATTTTTACTCTACAGGAGATTCAAATGCAAGTTTGTGAAGAGAATGCATAAAATATTATGTATATCTACTAGGGATAAGAAGTAACATCTCTTAGTTTTTCCTCATGTATTTAAACTTGAAATAATGGTAGCTACATACTCCGGTGGTGTAGCCCAGACTGATGGTAGAATATCATTGGGAATATACAAAAAGAGTGGACAAACCTTTCCTGACAGATTCATGTCCCAACTCTTTTTCCAGGGCAGGATCAGATAGAGGTCAGCCAAGCTCATCTCAAACCCCATTTAAGTTGGTGGGGCTTTTTTAACTAATACAAGCCACAGAAGACCTACCTGTACTCCCACTGAAGTGGGAGGTCAAAGGCTTGACTTCATAAAGCAAATATCATGGGAAATTTCAATTTCAGTTTTGCAGGTACATAAAATACTGTTCCCCCAAAATCCAAGAATATGGATAACCATAAGGGCAGTCTTAACACGAATAATACTGCTTCCAGCCTCCTAAACCTGCTAAGACCAAACTCCAGAGCTTGCTGCGGCAGTTCACTCATAACAGACCAAACCTGCCTTTCTGGTTTCACTGCTGTGAAGCCCAGAACAATCTGCAGTAGATCTTCAAAACAAAACAAACAAACAGAGAAAAGCAAGCCTTCTTGCATCTTTTTGGGGGCAGCAGGGTGTTTTTTACACCAGTAGTTCCTAACAAATGTTTTGATCTGTGTATTCCTAGGCCATAGTGGATTATTTTTGCATAAAGCCCTCCTTTCGTCTTCTATGAAAATTTTTTAAAAGTGCGTTTTCTGTATAGATTAGTATTTTGAAAAATGCCTAAACCCTGGATCTATCAACATTCTTATGCTTCTGGGCACCACTGATTTCACCAAGCTGTAGGTACTCAAAATATTTTTATATTTGGGATGGAAATAACTTTTTTAACATTTTCCTTTTGACAATGAGACTGAAGCTCTTGTGGAACTTTGTTTCTAGAGACCTATGTTACCTAGAGAGGTTTTTCAAAGGTAGTTCTTATATATGAAATTTATTTTCCTAGTTACTAAAAACTGAACTTAAAACATATTTTACATAATTTCCATTTTCAAAGTTATCTAAGGCATGGGAGAAACAAAGTTAGCATCCCAAGAAGACAGAGCTCACACATTCTGAAAAGATGAGGGCATCCCAATCAACTATTACTATGTCAGTACATACTTGTAGGTATCTGTACATTAAATAATCCTGGAACTCATCTGCCCATTGCTTTAACAAGCTAGTAAAAGTGTATTTGTCTTTATTCAAGCATACAAAAAATTACTTTCAAGTGCACATATAATAGAGGGCAATGTGTGTAGTTCAGTATTGCAAGGAGAGCTAACTTACCTTTTCAACTAATTCCTCTGTAGTTATATTTGGATCATAAGGGATTGGCTCCCCAATGTATGTGCGGAATTTAACTGGAAGTCCTCCATATGGAGGAGTAAATGGCAATCGAGTACTTTCGTACAACTGTCTGAAAAATCCTGAAATAGTTTCAGGGAGGGAAAAGTGAGATTATAGTCACAGAAAACAAAATCCACACTTGAAATCTGATTAATATGGAAGACTTCTTAAAAACGCATGCATTATCTGACAGTCAAGAAGAAATTACAGTATTTAGGTAACTGTCCACCAAAACAAAGCTCGATAGACTTAATAGATCACTGAAATAAGACTGCATTAAAGAACCAAATCACGCAGCACAAACCAGTTATACACAAGCTATTTCCGTATCTGAGATACCCCTGACCAATAGCAAGTGTGTTAGAGAATCCAAAGTAAGCAGAAGTCTGAAGAGGAAAATCTAAGAGAAAAGTGGGAGAAATCTGAGAGAAAAGTGGAGAAAACATTCCAAATACTTAAAATATATTTTAAAGTTCTTACTTCTTTCTTTAAACATCCTATATCCTTCCCGGACATTTTGAGTATACATTGGAATGATGGGCTAAGGAATCACAAAAAACCAAAAAGGTAAAAATGTTATACCAAGTTTAAATTTAAGTTTTAGTGCCTGTTAATGCAGCAAAGAAAAACACTTGAGTACAGAGGATAATTATCAGTCAGCTAGGTAGCAAACAAGGAATCTTGTTATAAAAAAATGAACTCCAGAATAGAAATCAAATTCTATTTCTCAGCTCCCATGAACATTGCTGTTTCAAAGTCACCATCTGTAAGGAAAATGACTGACATTTTATTAGAGGTTTATACCTTTCATTTTGAATGTACATTATAAAAGTTAACTGAGATTCTAAAAAAAAATAGCTTGTGCATTAAATATTTATTGCAGTATTGCTGACTGAAACATAAAATGAAGTTTCTGCATTTTCTCTGTCTAAAGCTTACATCGTGTGTGATGAATGGGAAAGTATTCAGTTTGTGAGGTCTTGCAGAAAGCAAGTAGACATTCACGTTTGGCTCATCTCATCTTCTGAAAGTAAGGTCTCACTGAAACAGTAATGTTTGGATAATACCCCACTGGAAAAAACTTCTGCAGTTCCCTTGAACAAATAAGGCAATTGTATGTCCTCACTGACCTGGACTACACACCTTCTGGAGGGCAGATCCTTAAGCAGTTACAGGACAAGTTCACTTCATTATTGTGACTGAAAAAAAAGTTACTTGAGATACCTGAACTTAAAACAGTCATGTCTTATAGCCTGAGGTAAGATTATATAGTTTGTAGACAAACTGACAGTGGTTGTATCCATACATACAGTGACTTCTTTCCCCTCTATTGTCCCTTTTAATTTTTTAATTAAAATTTTAAAACTGTATTTTGAGCTTGTTGTTGGAATTAGTTTTTGAGAAGGTAATGAAAGAACACTTTTCTGCTGTTAAGAATAACTACCAAAGGACAAGAAAAAAACAATCAAGAAAAAGACCTAACTAGAGCCTAACAAAGAACTCAAAGTGATGGAAACCATTTAAAGAAAAAAAAACCCTGACAGATCACAAAAATATGAAACACACATAAAAGTGTAATAGTAAACCCTTCAGAATGAGAAACTATGGGAAGTTATTAGAAATAAACCCTTAAAAAATAATCAGTAACATCTTTTAAAAGCTTTTAACTACTGGACACTGAAAATACCACACAGCTTCAGCTATTGATCAAATACTTTATGTCTAACATATAAAATGTTTGAAACCCACCTATCATATAGATAAAACACTTCAAATTTTAGGAATACTGCAAGAGAAACATGTCTTAGGCTATAAGGAAATCTGGCAACTAAGTTACTCACATACAATGATCAGCCAATGAAGAACAGAGTCAGTAGCAGCATTTGGTCCCTAAGCTGATGAAAAATGGGCACACACATAGAATCAGAGGATAGTTTGGGTTGGATGTGACTTTTAAAGGTCACCTAGCCCAACTTCCCTGCAGTGAGCAGGGACATCTTCAACTAGATCAGGTTGCTCAGAGCCCCATCCAACCTGATCTTGAATGTTTCCAGGGATGGGGCACCTGCCACCTCTCTGGGCAACCTGGGCCAGTGTTTCACCACCTTCACTGTGAAAAATTTCTTCTTTATCTCTAGTTGAAATCTACACTCTTTTATTTTAAAGACGTTACCCCTTGTCCTATTGCAGCAGGCCTTGCTAAAAAGTCTTAAAATCTTGTGACTGTAAAGCAGCATGATGAGATCTGCAGAAACCCCAGATTTAGATTTGCTCTGCTGGAACTGAACACGATCACACCCAGCCAGCTTGAAAATCACAGAATCACAGGATGGTTGAGGTTGGAAGGAACCTCTGGAGATCATCTAGTCCAAAGTCTTTGCACATGCATAAGGATTTTATAAACCCTAGTCCCTGTATATCTTCTACCTAACGAGATTTGAACCATTGAACAGAGTCAGTAGCAGCATTTGGTCCCTAAGCTGATGAAAAATGGGCACACACATAGAATCAGAGGATAGTTTGGGTTGGATGTGACTTTTAAAGGTCACCTAGCCCAACTTCCCTGCAGTGAGCAGGGACATCTTCAACTAGATCAGGTTGCTCAGAGCCCCATCCAACCTGATCTTGAATGTTTCCAGGGATGGGGCACCTGCCACCTCTCTGGGCAACCTGGGCCAGTGTTTCACCACCTTCACTGTGAAAAATTTCTTCTTTATCTCTAGTTGAAATCTACACTCTTTTATTTTAAAGACGTTACCCCTTGTCCTATTGCAGCAGGCCTTGCTAAAAAGTCTTAAAATCTTGTGACTGTAAAGCAGCATGATGAGATCTGCAGAAACCCCAGATTTAGATTTGCTCTGCTGGAACTGAACACGATCACACCCAGCCAGCTTGAAAATCACAGAATCACAGGATGGTTGAGGTTGGAAGGAACCTCTGGAGATCATCTAGTCCAAAGTCTTTGCACATGCATAAGGATTTTATAAACCCTAGTCCCTGTATATCTTCTACCTAACGAGATTTGAACCATTTTTTTTGGCATAGATAAAATGCAGGGATCTTCAGAAACGATGACTCCTCCCCATTAGCCTATCAAACTCCAGCCATAGGCCGAGGGTATTTCTGAAGCTCAGGGCCCTGGCATACATGAATTCAGCTGAGACAAATATACGTTCTGGAAGTCCATTGAGTCTTAACATTAAAGAATAACAGTCTCCTTCTCTGACCAGAGAAGTTATACAAGATGAAGTGGAATCTGAATGTGGAAACGTGCAGGCAAGGACTGAGGCTGAAACTATGTTCGTTGTTTGCTTTTCTTCAACTTTTTCAGTGGAAGAACTGTTGAACTTCCATGAGATTATAAGAATAAGTCTATTCATATATAAAGTTCTTTTTGTCTCGATATCCCCATTCAGGTCATCTGTGGCAGGTTATGAACCACCATGTAGTCATTTTGAATACTGTAAAGCGTGTGTGGTTCTTTGGTTGATGGCTACACTGTATGCAGATAAATTTTTAAAAAGGCACTTATAGTCCTCTCTTGCCTTCATCCAGCATCAGTATTAGCAAAACATATATGAATTGCTACATTATAGAGCAAATTCTGATAGTTTAGATGAGTCTTCAGTCAACCTACAAGACTGGTTTGGCCAGTATTGAAAAGGATGCAGTAAGAGCAAACAGAAACAAGAAAGCTCCAAATTTGTCCAAAGATGTAATCCAGTTACTAGTATGGGCCTAACTTTATATAAGAAATAGTATCTAAGGTTAATATTGCCCCCTCTACTGGTAAAGGCACAGCACTTGATTTTTTTAACTTTAGTTATCTAAAGTGTGTCTGATGACAGATTTCCAGAGAAATATCAAAGATGCCTAAAATTCAGTGGAGCCTGCAAGCTAATTACAGTGATGGGATCCAGTCAGACTTCCTGATCACGAAAAAAACAAAAACCAAAAAGCAACTGAATGAGTGCAATAAGAAGTGATAGAAGAGCCAGCAGCATTGTAAAGGTGAGCTCAGGCTAGTAGGTGTCAAAGGAGAAAATACTCTCTTCCCTCTGGGTAACGGATAATCCTACGTAGTGTCTGTTTTACCCAACATGCTATACAAAATGACCACAAGAACCTTTCACGCTGCAAGAACCTTATCCTTATGAATATCCTCATTATCCTTAATGAATACACAATTCATTAAATTTAAAAAAACACAAACCCTGTCAATAGAAGGTGCTAGTGATTTTAGGTGCTACTATTCAGCTATTTCCATATGGTTCTAAATTATGGAAAACTGGAAGGATTAAGAGGATTACTAGCAAGGATTTTTGTGATGTGTTTTGATTAGGGTGGCACTCTATATTAAGAGCAATCCGATTTCTTTAATTTTTATTTTTAAAAAACATTGTAGAATTATATTATAAGGATATATAATATATATATATTTCACTCCAAGTGAAGTGAAAACATCTGGCAAAAGATTGTTCAAATGTTTGAAGTAGGTTGAAAGGCAGATATGAAAGCAAACTTACTAGAAATCACTCAAGTTGTTAAAGTGACACCTCTTTCTAACTGTTAAGAGTATATTATTAAATTAATACGTAAGAGGAAAGACTATAAGGGAATTCAAAATGCCCATATGAATTTGACTGGGTTTATCCTATTCACATTCTGATATTTTCCTAGTAGGGGTGGTGTACAGGCCCACACGATACACAAAATATTGTGACTAACATTTAGCAGCCCACACTTTTGAGAAAAAGGACAGGAGAGGAAACAGGAGCACATAAAACATGACTTTAAAAAGGCTACATAACAAGACAAAGAGGTAGAAATAGGATTCCCAGCCTAAAATTACTTTATCCATTGGGTAAATTCCCCTAAATTTATTCTAGTGTTATGTCCCCACAAGACTTCAGAGACAAATAAAGTTATGAAGAAATATTAACCTGAAGCATGCATTTTGCAACCTTAGGTACTTTGTAGTAGGAGCTTTAGCACAAGAGACCAAAGCAAAGTTTGAGAAGCAAAAAACTGAAAAAGAGAAAAAACACACACAAAACACGCACAAAAAACCTGAAAGGGATGGCAAGAAATTGAAGTTTCATGGGTAGAACGCAATTCCCTGTACAGATTCTACTATATAGACAGAAAAGGATTGTGTTTATGTGGAAGGCCAAAGAAGAGCACTGCAATTGATGATATAGTCATAAGAATGTAAAGAAAAATTACATTGGCACAATTCATGAGAAAGAAGCAGAAAGCTCATGGAAGAACAGATGGAGCCTGGATGTGTACCGGTATTGTCAGACACAAAGAGCGCTAGGTATGCTCAGTCTAAATTAAGACAGAAAATTCATCTGTAGTGGTGGTGATGATAAATGGCAGGTGGGAAGAAGCAGCATTGCTGCTCTTTCAGCTCTATGCCATCCCAAATAAAATTATTTCCCAGAGACTATATCAGTGAAACAGTCTTACATGTGGAAGAAGTCAGAGCCAGTGGTAGAAGTTTGTATTTGTAGATCATCATCCATATGTAAAATATGACTGAAACTATGGCCATGTGTACATTAGTGGAGTGCAAACCGATGAAAGCACATCTCTAGAGGATGCTGAGGATCTGACATTGACACTGAACACTCATCAGTGCTCTGTTTTTAAGTAGAACTAATTCTTGTCTGGTACCATTGACTGAATGCCCATTTGCAACTGCAGAGTATTAGGTCCCAATTCTGGTTTAGTTTCAGCCAAAAGGAATGCAGCCCAGGTATTCTAACACGTTCCATGATGTGAATTAAAGCATGGTATGTGAGGGAGGTGGAAAAATCACTTCAAAAGCACACAGGATTCAAACTCAGACACTGATGTAGACACGCCTTGCGTTAGTTGAGGCAATCCTTCACAAACATGAAGAAAAGTAAGGGTAAGAACAAAATCCTGCACCGTCCCAGAATATATGAGAAGAAAGATAGATAAGGAGCCATAAGAAAATGGCTGGGTATGTAGAAGTGAGGTAAAGATACAAGTCTAGTAGGATGAGAAAAAAGAATAAAACCTTACAGCAATATGGGGAAGCACCACAGTGAAGATTCCTGAAATACAATCAAGACAAGAAACTGGATGCCTGCATGATGGAACTGTAAGCATGGAACTGTAGAGATGGACGCCTTGCAACGGTCGAGAAAAAGCTATAAAGTTCCACAAAACCCTTGCTCCCTATGGATTAATGTGCTTGAGGAAAGTGGTGGGAAAAGCAAAAGAAGTCTTTACTCCTGAACCTTTTCTTCTGTCTGGAAGATTTTCCAACAAACACTCCTAAGCTGCATTTTATATTGAAGCACGTATGCAATAAGCAGAGTGGAATTGGTAACATATAATACTCACCACTTTTGCATCTAGAGCCACCTGAGCAAAGCCTTTTCGATTTCCCCACACGAGTTGATAACTTTCATCACTGAATAGTGCTTCTCTAACTCCACCTGGTGAGATGGACACCAAGTGTCCATTCTTCAGTGCCATGAGACACTCTTCCCTTGTACCTGGCATAACACCCGTCACGTCGAGTAATAATTGCAGTCCTGCAATGAATAAGTAGCAAAGATATCACAAATACTGCTTGCATGTAGGAACAAGATTACAGCTAAATGAAAATCTAATAGATATATATTTAAACTAGGGCAAATTTATACGAAGGAAGTAAAACCTGTACAGAGTACGTATCAGCAAAATAACAAATACGTGACAATGTTTTTGCTCAAATGTTATGAAGATGAACCAGCTTATCAGGAGCATCTCAATAAACTAATGCCTCCACATGCTATTTTCTATAATTATCAAAACACCAGCCATGCAACTGAAATTTGTGTATCATATCATATCATATCAAAATAAACATCTGTGCCTCCCTCCTCCTTTTTAAATATTTTAATACAGAAAAAAATACAAATTTTTGGTACAGTAAAGATTACTACAAAAACAAATACCTGACAAGCAACTATTTTTAGCGTTCTTTTAAAATGTGATGTTTAACATTTTAAATGCTGAGGTTCTGAGTTGTTAAATTGAGTATTTTGTGGTTAAATTGCAAACTACATGGATCAAATCGGACTGCTGTACAACTCATAAGATGCATGAATGGCAGAAGTAAGCAGGGCAGTTTCAGCACTGCATGAACACTTCAATGAATCTCCTTCCTTTGTTTCCGTAACTGGGAATTCTCCAAAAGATAGATTGAGAACCACAGAAGCACTCTATGCTTTCTTGTAATATCTTCACATTTTAAATCTATGGGTTTGGAACTCCCATAGAGAGCTTTGGCAAATGAGTTTCCCCAGTCTTCAAATTCACTGTCCCAGCAGCATGATTTGAACAGAGATTGTCTATATTAATAAATGTAAACAACTATGGACTGCCTGAATTGGTGTCTAGCACTACAACTTTGACAAAGGTCTGCAACAAAAGCTTTGTGGAAAACATCTTGTAACTGAATTGTATTTAATCTTATTCAAGGCATTGTGTTTGATAGATTTTTCTGTCAGACGGATGTTGACTTTGTTTAATCCCTTCGTGAACTGTCATGTATTCCTGTTTTATCCTGCAGCCATGGATGCCATATCCTCATAAAGTGAATAGGTACTTCCTTTGCCTGGCTTTAAAACTTTTGCCTGTTAAGAATTGTGATGTATCACATGAACACATTATCACTTCTTATTCACCTCTTCCAGGTCACACAGAAGTTTATATCCCGCAGTCATGCAAGACTTCTGTCCTATGTACTGGCTCTTCAAAGGAAGCCATGCTAGTGTGCCTCTGATTATCCTTGTCCTTTTTTGTATCTTCATTACTTTGCAGCTTTTCCGTGATGGGGAGACCAGAATTCCACACAGTACTCAAGATGTGGGCACTCTATGCATTTTGAGAACATAATGGTATTTTCTATTTCTTCTTTTTTCATGATAAGCCTAACATTCTGTTTGCCTTTTGGCGATTGCTGAGACTTAAGCTGACCTATTCCTAAAGTTATCTAGAAAATTTAAAGCCTAATTACATGTTTATGTGTTTAGACTTGTTTTTCTTTCCTTCTGCACTGCATTATAACTAATACTGGATTTCATCTGCCATTTAATCAGACAGTGATTCAGTATTGGTAGATAATCGTGCTCTCTGTGTGGGCTTTTACTGCCTTGAAAAAAATGGCCAGTATGAAGCTTTGTCACCTCACTGCTGATCTAGATTATAATTATTTTGAACAATATAGGTGCCAGCACTGATCTTCATTGGTGTACCTGGTGAATTCTGCTTCTCTGTGAAATGAATTATTTCTACTCTTTGTTTCCTACCTTTTAACCAGTTATTCATTCACAAGAAGACTTCTCCCATAACTGTAATTAATCCAACAGACTGAGGTTCAGCATATGCTCATGAGCATTCTTTAAAGAGCCAATCTGTGAAGTGTAACATTTCTTTGCAAAAAAGCAGGTAAGTATGGTAGAGCAAGAGGTTGGGGAGAATTTTCACTCAGTCTATTACTTTCAGACATGTTTTCTACTAATGCAGCAAATGAGGAAGCCTAATCTCTGTTATTTGTGGTCTTTTTTACCAGATGCCTTTTTGGTAGCCTTTTTATAGGTTGACACCATATTTGCCACCTTCTGTTCCTCTAGCATGAACATAATTCAAACAATATATTATGAACACGTCAATAGTCCAGAAGAGGCACAGCTGAGAGTGTTTCTTAGTCCTGACAATAGTTTACTATACATTTGTAATAAAAATCCGTGCTACAAACACTTCAATTTGTAACAGTACCCTCTCATTTATCCCTTAAAAAAAAAAAGTCTCCTTTGCAACATTCTGCTAAGCTTTATATTCCTTTAGGGGTCCTCTTAAAAACCAATCATCTTTTGGTAACTTCATGCTTCTGACATGTTTAGTACTACACAGTATTTACTAAGTATGCCTTTAGCAAATTATTCCTCACCATCCTTCTAGGAGCGCCTTAATATGTTCTTGTATCAAACTTGCTTGGGTTTATGCTCTTTGTTTTCAGTGTTTGAACACAACTTCCTTTTATGAAGAATGTCCTTCAACTTTTAAATAGCTTCCTTTACTCTTTAGTATTATAATAATTTTTAATAAGTGTTATAAAGGTGCCTTTAAATAATCTCCCTGCTATTCCTTCTGGATGCTCCTTCTTTATGCCTTGCATTTCTAAAAATGAATGAAGTTTGCTTTTCTATATCTTCTCCTTTTGACAGTGGAATTACTGATTTCTCTCTCAGTCTACAATGTGTTGTGGTGGTCAGTATTACAGAGCTTTCTTCAACAGTAAAATCTTCAAATAAGTTTTGTGCCCTACTCCAGGCTTTGATCAAAAGACAGATTTGATGTCATACCCCACTGCAATGGCCACTCAGTGTAAAGGGCAAATAGGTAATTGATATCCTACCATTTATTGGGCTCTTCGGCACTCACAGTCCATTGCTGACTGGACAGCATTAGGTCAATAATATAGTCCTATCCTACACTTTCTACTGAGGCATACTTTTCATCCCAACAGGATTATATAATGTCTATTTGTTGGTTTTGGGGGGTCTACCAGCGTTTTTATAACCTTTCACTTAAAAGACAGGACCTTGTTTGCCCTTCTGCATCTACTAGCTGTTAGTTTGAAAGTCTAAAAGCAGTATTGTAGTTTACAAGCTCTCTTGAAAGCGTAATAAATGTAAATTTCATCAAAACCACCAACAAGTTGAGTGAATCCAGGATGCTTAAATACAAGAGAACATGCTCTTACCTGGTAAACGAAAGACGAAATGATCAGCTACTGACAGACAAAGTCTTTTCTTCCAGAGAAACAGCCTAGACAAAAAGTAAAGGTAGTCTATAGGAATAGCTCCATGGTAATACACAAGAATGCCTGGTCCTTCTGGTAGGTTTTCCACACCATGAAGCTCATAACCTGTTTGGGATGGAAAGCAATACACTGACAATGATACACTGACAGCTGTAAATCATCTGGCAATTTAAAGAAAACTGTTCACTGTACCTTGTTAAATGACTTTCAGAGAGTTGTGAAAGCCCCTGCAGTAGCTTTTAAAAGAATTAAGTTCTGGATGCAACCTGTGGTCAATAGCAAAGAGAAAGCCCCTCAAACACCACAGGTTGTCAGTGGACTAATTTGTCGGTCACTTTAATCATTAGATCAGACCTGAACCTGACATTTCCCCAGTGAGGGGACTATTAATTACTTCCCATTAGGAACTTTTCCCAGTCCAAAGTACAATAATGAAAAAAAAATTACTATACTGGTGTGAAACCGCTTCATTGGCAAAATGAGAAGCAAACAAACAGCCAGGATGCTTTTCTGAAATATGGAAGTACAAATCTCCATTCTGTGTCAGGCAGAATGAAAAGTTTGGGGTTTTATATAAAAAAAGTTTCTCTGGTTGAGATGTTTAAGCCCAAACAAGAATCTGTAAGAATCCCAAAGAGAGGTTCTTTCCACAAGAGTTAAATGTATTCACTTCATTGTGGAATGAATGTCCTCACAGACATGGACTTCTGTAAATCCCTCTCCTGGCTCTTCCTATGTTTGATTTAGGTTTTAGGTGGAGCCAGAGTAGGAGGCTAATGTATACAAAGGCTTGGGAAAGTCACAGCTTCTGCCAACTACGAGCTCTATTCCACCTTCTCTGCCTTCGTCTCCATCCCTGCTACAGCCCCTGTCATGAGCCATTCAGGGAGAAGGATGGGGATGGAGCAGGCAGAGTCCTAGGAAGAGATGGAGAAAGTTTCATACTGCAGAGTGTTCAAAGATCAAGGGAAAAAGCTGTGAGGAAGGATAGCAACATAGATAAAAACCTGATATTCTTCATCCTTAGGGCAGCAAAGTTAAGTCTTGCTGATAGCCTTAAACTACATCTGTGGGAAGAACAAGTGCCTAGCATGCAGCTGAGGATTTTCCTACGGAGCAGGGTGTGGTGAAATTTCATTACACTCAATCTGAAGGTTGAGTGTAATGAAACTGAAAAATCAGGTTACTTTTAAATTCTGCCACAGTACAAACTTAAATGTGGAATCTAATTATTTCTTTGTTCATACAGCTCTTTAAATTATTTTCAATTGTCATAACACAAAGTCGTTTTCACCAACTAAAAATACACTAATTGCATTTCCGACTAGTTGTTGTGTTTTGATCATTTATTAAATGGATTTTAAACAGCTACTAAGGTAAAACATAAAACACATCTCCCCTGCAGTTACATTACTAGAACTAACATTAACACTGTGCTTCACTCTGTTACCATATACACAGAACTACACCTGCCTTTCCACTGAAGAGAAATTTACCATATATAAAATAATTTCTGGCTTTCATTCTGCTTATTCTGTATTGCCATCAGTCTTTGAGGCAGAAACTTTTGGGTTAGATGCCATACAAAGTATAATAAATGTCATTTCTTTGCATACATTTGGAAGAAACTTTAAAATAAATAATTAAAACTTATGGGTATTTACTATGTATTGTAATTCAAAGCTTCAGACAAGTCATGTCATACTTACCATGCCATATTCTTGCATATATATCCCAAAAGCTTGCTATTGTTTTCCTTGCGCTATCCCAAACGTCACTCAAGGGATCTGCTTTTACCTCAACATTCCTCTGATACATTAAAAGCAAAATATTAGTAAGGTAAATGAAAAAGAGGATTGTTAAAGGAACTATAAAAAAAAATAATATTGCACTCATTGTCAGTGAGACGATGACCACATGAAAAAAGTATTTCTTCAGGTACTCCACAACAGTCCATTCTTCCAGAACGTAGGCAAGGCAGCTTAGGTCGGTCATTGGTGCCTGGCCTGAAGTGCAGGATTCTTCTCTACCTATCATGTTCTGCATGGAGGAGGAAAAAAAAAAAAAAAAGCTATAATTTCTGTAATCATGGAAGTTTATCAGTTTAGGAAAAAAGTTTTATGTAGATATACCTGATGCCTCTTTGGGTATAGCACAGAGTGAAACACGTCGTCTCTCTCTGTCATGCTAACATAGCTGCTGGCAATTGCCATCCACTACTGCCTGTAAAGAGTGATGATATTATCCTATGTATTTATGGATCTTTTTTATACAGCCAGATAATAGGGGCTGAAAGGACGAGGGCTGGAGTCCAAGGAAGCCTCAGGATCCATGCAACATAGAGCACATTCACTGTCAAAGCTGTTCATCAGGTGATTTCTCTCTGTAAGTATGGCTTACTTTCTAGAAGCTCAAAAGAGGGCAAGTGATCAGTATTTTCAGCAGCATTAGCCAAGAAGACTGCTACCAGAGGTCTGGGCTTTCCTGATCCTGTGCAGAGAGTCCAGCCTGGGCTTCTGGTCCCTCTCAGTTTGGCAGCAGCCGGCAGCGAGGGGAAGAAACAGTGAGTAGAGTGAGCAGCTGAGCGAGACAAAAAGCCAATAGGCAAAACCTGGGCACCCATAGCTCCTTCCCAAGGGCTGGAGGTGCCTGGGGCAGCGTTTGGTACTGCTGGCAGCACCGGGAAAAGCAGCTCTTCACCCCTCATCTACACAATCCTGACAACTCACCCTTCTTTCAGATTTTCCAGCCCTGGCAAAAGCCAAGTGGGCTCCATGGCCCTAATGATACGTTTGCCACGTGCAGCTCCCTACTTAGCCTGTTCCTACAGCTGACCCTGCCCACCTGACAGCAGGTAGTGGTTTCTCTGGAATGCAAGAGCACTCCAGCATCGCTGGCTGATTTTCAGATTCCTGAGCATTAGCCAGAGTTTTAAACATTGCAATTAGGTTCAGTAATCCATAACTGAATCCAGCTTTTATTTGTCTCAATCAGGCTACTACTTGTTTAATGAGTAAATTTTTCTGCGCCAACACCAGAGCAAGTACCTACAAGAAACAAATCATAACTGCCACCATCAGTGCCAAGATCATAAAGTACAGCAAGTCCAGACTTTTCTGACTTTACGTCTTCAGCCACATAACCTGTTATACACTACCCACTCCACTTCTGGTTTTCTTCTTTGAAGTCTGGGGTAGAATATAGGGGCGGACTAGCGTAAAGCACAGTTCCTTTCAGAGTTATGGATGACAAGGAGTACAGCAAACAGCAAAAGCAAAGAGCACGAACAAGCAGTAGACTAGCATGCAGTAAGGCAAGCAAGCTCCATGGCAAGCCCTGCCGATGAGTAGCTGTAACAGCTATAAATTTGCTGTCACACACTGCGATCAAATCTATGCTTATCTCAAACCCTTCGAGCCCCATGTTGGGCACCAAAAAGGATTGTTGTGGTTTAACCCCAGTAAGCAGCTGAGCCCCACACAGCTGCTCACTCACTCCCCTCTGCAGTGGGATGGAGGAGAGAATTAATTTTTAATAACTCTTGAAAGAGTAGGGAAAACCCAGAGGACTGGAAGAGATTTAAGATTATTCCAATGTTCCCAAACACAAGTAACTGCAGATTCAGCAGCCAGATAAATCATAGAATCATAGCATGGTTTGGATAGGAAGGGACCTTAAAGATCATCTAGTTCCAATGCCCCGACCATGGGCAATGACACCTTCCACTAGATCAGATTGCTCAAAGCCCCCTCCAACCTGGAGGCATCCACAACTGCTCTGGGCAACCTGTTCCAGTGTCTCATCACCCACACAGTAAAGTATTTCTTCCTAATATCTAACCTAAATCTACCCTCTTTTAGTTTAAAACTGTTACCCCTTGTCCTATCACTACAGGCCCTGATAAAGACTTGCTCCCCATCTTTCCTGTAGGCCCTCTTTAAGTACTGAAAGGCTGCAAAAAGGTCTCCCCAGATTCCTTCTCTTCTCCAGGCTGAACAACCCCAACTTTCTCAGCCCGTCCTCATATGGGAGGCGCTCCAGCCCCCTGATCATCTTTGTGGCCCTCCTCTGGACCAACTCCAACAGTCCATGTCTGTCTTACGCTGGGGGCCCCAGAGCTGAACACAGGACTCCAGGTGGAGTCTCATGAGAGCCAAGCAGAGGGACAGAATCCCCTCCCTCAACCTGCTAGCCACGCTTCTTTTGATGCAGCCCAGGATATGGTTGTCCTTTTGGGCTGCAAGCGCACATTGCTGGCTCATGCCCAGCTTTTCATCCACCAGTACCCCTGAGTCCTTTTCCACAGGGCTGCTCTCAAGCCCTTCTTCCCCCAGCCTGTATTGATACTGGGGGTTGCCACGACCCAGGTGTAGGACCTTACACTAGGCCTTGTTGAACTTCATGAGGCAAGATTACTGAAATGCTGGTATGTGATGAAGGTAACTGATGCTACTTATTATAATTTTGCAAACAAATGCACCTCCATTCTTTGAGGAAATTAGAGGTTTAATAGCTTGTGCAGGTGTCATGCAAATACAGTTTTACTAGGGGCTTGTTAAAGAGTCACTTCAAGCTACATGCGAGCTGCTACTTGGAACTTGCCCTTCCACCAGGCCCTCACCATATGTTCTCACCACCAGCCTGGTCTCCAACAGTCTCCCTGCTGACTGAAAATGCTGGCACAAGCAAAACCAGTCTTGGGAACAGCCCAAACTTAAGTAGGCCTACAGAGATTATAAAAGTGTATTACCAATGCCACTTGACATTTTGATTAAAAAACAAAGCTCTTGATAATGGTGCGCATATGAAATGAATGATGTCATCAACTGACATGACAAGAAAGTATCCATTGGTGGTGGAATCCCCATCAAATGAGAATGGAGTCTATGTCCTACATTATTCAGCATTTTCAGAATTTTCTCCTAATATTAATGGGGTGTTACATTATCAATGCAAACAATGTAACATCCCACTGGTTTCTTTTCCTCCATCCCAATTTTTATGTAACAGAAAATTATTTTCTTGCTAGAGGACCACTACATTTAACCTTGTTTGGTCACAGACTGCAGTATAAATGATCACAGTAATTTATTAATTTCTGATTTTAAGTTCAATGTAGACACTAAAAAAAAAGCTTTAGAAAGAAATTTTTAAACCCTATGAAACAGATATTAACAGCACAGATTTGACTGAGGACATATGAAAGTAGTTGGGTAAACATGGACCGAGTTCACTTTACCCCAGTGAGCTGAGTGGGTGGGATACAAGCTAATTCAACATCATTCCAGTTGAATCCAAACCAGAGTGGAGAAAGAATAAATGATTGACTGCCTGAGAAAAAACTACAAGCAGCATGGCTTTTTCTGGTAGGGAGGGTGCTCAACCAGGTTTCAGTTCCTGCTCCCACAATTCAATTGCAGACTGCCTCCCAACATTTCATGAGGAAAGAATGAACCCTAATCACTGAACCCTGATGCTGGTTTTTGTACCGTATCATGTGAGTCCAACATGGCATCCCTCTGTACTGCCAGTATCACATTAAAGGACTACACCAGGACAGAACTTGCATTTTTGCATGTTCTACTGGCTGTCTCTCACTAGCTCCTCATTGAGACCACAAACAAAATTTTGAAGCATCCTTTCTATCAAACACCATATAGGAATTTATTACATAACTATTTGCATGCCTATTGCAAGGCTATTACTAAAGACCTGCTTGATTATGCCCTAGAAGACAATGCAAGAGTGTTACCACAACATGTTTACTCATAACTGCTCTGGTTTGCCCCAAGTCTCAAAATTTAAGAGACAAATTTCTCTTCTGCTTTTGTCAAATCTGAGCCAAGAGCAGCTCCCACGTTCTTCAATACTGAACAACCCATGAAAGGTTAAGAAGTCAGCATAATGTTTTGTGCACCGATATTTTTTAAATTGTCTATCTTTTTCACATCTCATCTGGTGATGGACTTGAAGCATTACTGTTCTGAGTGATTTCATTATTATTCTAGAGAACAACATCTGTGTTGACATGTGAGATGTTTGTTTGGGCTCCACCTACAAAGCATATCAAATTCCAGAGTAATAGCTGTATCTACAACATAAAATTACAGGTAATGTCAGAGGGAGACAGAACTAATGTCTCCCTACTTAAAGGGGAGCTCCCCTTCCAACAAAAGCCTTCTGTAGTACAAGTCACTCAGATCCAGAGCTCTTGCTGAAGCATCATTTGTTGATAAGGATAAGATTATCAACACTATAATCCCAGGGAACGGAAGTGTAACAACAAAGCTGTCACAAGAGACCTATGGCATCAAAATGACTAAAGAGTGGATATTCTTGGTCTTGCTGCTCTCCAGTTTGTCCTTGGCAGCAGGTTTAGCAGAGCATAGCGGGAAGATGAGTGTAAACTAGTTGGAAACACTTCTACAGACTTTTTTTGACACTTGCTTTCTTGTGGCAGGCACCTATTTTCTCTTCTGTCAAACTCAACTGCTCTGTTTCACAAGGAGAGTGATCTAACAGTTTCAAGTCTGCATCTTGCCTTGCAATATAAATGAAATTCCAATTTTACGTTTCCCACATTTTTGTGGCAAATCCATGGAAAATAACTCTTGCTGGTCTCACATAGTCACCACCCACTTTATTTGCCTCCATAAATCCATGCATCTTGTACACTGCTATGTTTCTACAGCTTTCCCTTCCTTTAGCAGGGTCATGTTGCGATAGGACAAGGGGTAATGGTTTTAAACTAAAAGAGGGTAGATTTAGAACAGATAGAAGGAAGAAATTTTTCACAATGAGGGTGGTGAAACACTGGCACAGGTTGCCCAGAGAGGTGGCAGATGCCCCATCCCTGGAAACATTCAAGGTCAGGTTGGATGGGGCTCTGAGCAACCTGATCTAGTTGAAGATGTCCCTGCTCATTGCAGGGGGGGTGGGCTAGATGACCTTTAAAGGTCCCTTCCAACCCAAACCATGCTATAACTCTGTGAATCATGGATTATCAGCACATCCACCCCGAAACTGAAGGGTGTATCC